AATATATAAATCTCCATAAATAGATCCCAGAATTTGGAAATTCTAAAAGATTTTAATTTTCCGTCCCAGATCTAGAGATTCTTCCAATGAACCGCTCCGATATCTAAAAAGAGATAAATCACGCAGAACGTATCAGATCGCGCCTATATTTCGATAATTAATCAATATATACGAATCGTATATGATCAAAAACGACCAATTAATAGATTTTGAAATATTTTGGATCTCCGTCCAAGATCTATGCCGAACCGCCGCACAAATAGCCGAAGAGAGAGAAATAATCCGAAATCTCGGGAGATTTCGGCTCATGCGGCCCCCGTATCCAGCCCGATCTTTCCGCCTCATTTATCTTTCTTGGGTTATCTGCGTTGCGGCTCGGAGGAACGCAGATATCTCCGTAGATAGATATGATTTATCTATAAATTTCAAAATATTTTAATTCTCCGTCCCAGATCTATATTCTCCGCCGAAGAACCGCGTAGATAGCCAAAGAGAGATAAATCGCACGGAAAACCGCTCCAGAGGCGGCAAGGACCGCACGACCAAAAATCTCCGAGATTTTTGGTCGCGTCGCCTATATAAAAAATCTCGAAGATTTTTGGAATTTCTGTCTTATCCGATAGGCAATAAAATCTCCGAGAATTTAGATTCCTTAAGAGATCCGCAGGAGATATTTAGAAAGTAACGAAAAATCTAAACCGCATACGAACGAAATGACCGCAAATAGCCGCGCCATAATATTGAGATATTTGCAGATTCAATAGCCAGATAATTTATTTTAATCTTCTAATATTTTCAAATTTCGGATTAATATGAATATTAATCTAAATCTTCATCCCAAAATAGAATCTTCGTATCAAAAAGACGAATAATAGAGTCTAGATAATCATAATTCCTATCTACGATAATTAAAATATAAATATATCCGAAATCACGATTCCGCGATATTATAATATATATAACGATCATGATATCATAATCTCTAGAATCTCTGCCTGTCGTGCGTAGCCGCGCCGTCATTCCTCCGCGCCCGTTGCGATAGCGCTACGGCGCCGTTTCATCCGCTTCGCCGGTCAGCCCAACCTACCGACTTCGCTGCCGTCTTTTTCCCTTCTCTGCCGCCGACCGCCACCTACCGTTGCCGCCACCAATCAACTTAGCTAGCAAATTATTTATATAGAATCCTTGACGGCGTCGTATTTAATCAGAATTATTTCCGGGTCCCGACCTATCTTTCGAATATATCCGAGATATTTTAAAAAAAATTCTTACCTCTACGGAAGATAATTAAAGTAAATGAATATTTAATCGACGCCGATCTTCCAAAATATTTTGAAGATCGCGATCTACGAAATATCCGATATTTTAGAAAAATGATTTCCAAAAGCTCTAATATATTTTAGAAAAATATAGGCTCATTAACCTATCCAATTTAGAAAAAATCGATCTTCCAAAAAAATCCAAATTTTACCAGAAGATCGATCTAAATAAATCCATATAAATGGAAAATAAAAAAAAATCATATCCGCAATTTTTAATAGAATACATATCTTTTTCCGAAAAAAAAAAATATCAATATCATAATATCAATTGAATAAGAAAATCTTCATAAGCCGAAATTTGAATATATCAGAAGATCATATCAAATTGATTGTTCATTCAACCTATAAATATATTATAATAGAAAATAATCAATTAATCAATAAATATTTCGTGATATAACGATCCCAATCATCGACCTCCCAATATCAAGCCAATATATCGTGAAATATCCGATATATAAATATTCTCAGATAAATCATAATTTCGTCTAGAAGAAATTCTATATATCAACCATCATTTTCATCTTAAAATTATATTTCCTTATCAATAATATATAGAATATTCAATATTAAATATAATTAATGAGAAAAGATCAACTAAGAAATTCAATAGAAATAAAATTTCAGAAAGAAAATAAATAGATAAATCAGTTCCTATAAATAATATATAGATAAATAAATACAGAATTCTCTATTTTTATCTATCTATGATCTCCTTTATACCTATCTCTTTTCTTTTATCTTTATCGATTTATTCTATTAATTATCTATATCTATCTATCTATTTATCTATCTATCGATCCCTATCTTTTTTTATCTAGTGCATAATCAATATCTAGATATAATTCTAAGAGTTCACGTAAAATGGATTCATCTCATAAAAATTCATGAGAAGAGAAGAAATATCATCTATCTCATATCTTCTCAAGTTATGATTCTAATATCCCAGAATTTTTTAAAATTCATCATTTATGATTTCTCAGAACCACGAACCATCATATCTATATGCATATATATATATATATTAAGAAGTTACCTCATTAAAAATCAGAAAAATAAGAAAATACATATATTTAACATTCTAATTATGAATAAAGATATGAGATCAGATGTACCATATCAATGAAATCGCATCATATATTCTTTGATATTTCGATTTTATCAATCTCGGAATCATTAGTCGATAAAATATATCTATCTCATATTCGAAATATGAGGGCATATTTATATTCTATATACAAATTACGTATATCTTCTCTATCCCAGGAATGTTCGATCGAGCTTCGAATTCCGTATCTTATCCTATGATCTTATCTCTAATATTCTTGCAGATCTTTTGTTTTCGATCTTTGAAACATTTTATTCATAGATATATGTCTATATATTGGAAATCGTTCTCTAATCGTATATTCTTATCAATCTAGATCATATCTTGTCTGTTTGGGGATCTGAAATCTTGTCTTTGTCGAGAATTTCTTGGAATCCCCCCATAATTCTAAAGATATAACTGTCGATTCCAGGAATCGGTCATTCCAAGAAATAGCTAAGATTCAAAAGCCCTATAGATATAGATATTTTTCTCCGAGATGAAGCAAGGAATTGTCATTGCAATATAAATGTCGCGAGTTAGTTTAGATTGTCTGCAGAATTCACCGCCAGTGAGATTACAAGGAAGGGTCTCATACGTTTAACGTCAGAAGACTTGTGTTTCTTGGAAGTATTAGGACAAGTTGTTCAAAGTATCAATAATCCCCTGTCGAATCCGTAGTATAATATGGGCCCTCGTGCTTAGCATTATACAGGGCACCTGCAGGGGACCGATAGGAGCCCGGAAGGCACATGTGAATAAAGAGCCCTAAACCGAACCTCAGAGCACCTGCAAGGGGCACCGATAGGAGAAAGGAAGGCAAATACATGATTACTCCTCATGGAATCCAGCCTTACCCCCCTAAACCCTAAATCAAAACTCTGAAACCCTAAACCTCGAAACCGTGGGGAGTTTCTGAAACTAGACACCTTTAAGCTTGGGGTTTAGGGGTTCAGGGGTTTTGGTGGGTTTAGGGTTTAGGGTCTGGGGGTTTAGGGGTTTAGGGCGCTCAAAATTAAGGGTCGCAAAATCAGGGATACCCTTTCGGGAGTCTCAATGATAACAAGGACTGCAGAATTTGGGGGTTTTTGTTGGGGTCCCCCAAACCCTAAACCTTGTTTGTGGGAATTACCAAATGGGCCAATCTATGCTACGTTTCCGCTCGTGGCAGGCCTCGGGGTGCTGTTGAACCATGGCATGGTAAACTGGACTGCATTCGCCGCGGTCATGTGTCCTGGCCCCAAAGGCCCTGAGAAGCCTAACAGGTGCCTTACTCTGGACCCTGAACCCTCTAAAACCCCGTGCAAACCCCAAGCCTCAAACGCTAGACCCTAAACCCTAAATAGTAGTTGTCCTTTTCTTTTCCATTATCCTTATATTATAGTCTCTGTGTAATCCCTATTTCTTCCCTATAGAATCCGCCAGACCCCCACCCCAGCGCTAAACCCTACACCTGTCGCCCTCCCCCTCACTGGAGGCAGTCACCCCTGGGCGTGGTGTTGGATGGTAGCTTCGTAGGAACGCGTCCTTGGAGACAGAAACTTACTGGGTTTAGTAGGGAAGAAAGGAAAATATTTGGTCAGGTTTAGTGTTGAGGGTTCAAGGTTTCGGGCTTAGGCCAGGAAATAAGGGAACTCTTTATCTACGAATGATACAGGGAGTGTATATCAATGATATTCCCTCATTCCCAGTGAGCAAGCTGAAAGCTTTGGATTCTGATTTTCGGTTCGAGATCTGGATGACCTGGATATGCGCCAGGAACCAAGTCTCTGTCTTTACGTCTCCAAGCCACGGCACACTCAATGCCAGCGTTGAATATTGTTAAGGCCGGATTTTCGTAAGTATGGGAATTTAGACTCGCTTGGTTCCTGACTTACCCCTAGCTTCTGCTCAGGCAGTTGAAGACCCTAAGCCCTAAACTCCGAGCCCTAAGCCCTAAACTCTAAACCAGGAAAGATCAAGGTGTGGCGTGAAGCCGGCCCACGCTTTAGCCATTGCAGAAGACCTTGTCGGAACCCTTCGGATGACGCGCCGCAGAGCACAAGGCAACCGTCTCCGCCAGGCACGGCATTTCACCTCCTCATGCACCTCGCGCTCTAGGCATAGTGCCTTTTGGGAGGAGGCGGTTTGGTGGCAAATAAAGCACCCAACTTCCATGTGACAGCTTCAGCAGACTAGTATCACTGGCTTTTTTCTGCAGGTATGGCTCGCATCAAGGTTACATATGGAGTAAGCAAAGGCTTCCTTTCGAGCCTGAGGGCCGCATCTTGTCTCATGCAACAACAACAAGAATCAACTCTGGCATCAGAGGGGGCTTACTTTGTATTACCCTCATGTATTGTTTCGAAACAATCAATCCTTTTCAGTAGCCTCCAAACCAAGGGGTATTCTGAAGCACCCTAAACTTTTAGGGGCTGCGCCCTTGTGCGCCAGCGCAGCATTTTGTGGTTTTCAGGCAACGTCAAGGGAAATTCGAACCATGTACGTAAACCTTTAGCCAGACAACACCAGAAACTAATTCGATCAATGATTGAGTGATTATGGAGAGCCAGTTGGTTGGGGCTTCGTGGGGGCAACATCAACGGAAATTCAAGCCAATTTACTTAAACCTTCAATCAACCAGCGCCAGAAACCAATTCGATTAACGATTGTGTGAAGACGGAGAACCAATCGGTTGGGCTTTCGTGGGGAGGATTTGGGCCTTCGGCGAGGGATGAAGGCTTTCGTGGGGCGGGCTTCGCGGGACTTCGGGCTTTCGTAGAGAAGGATTCGGGCTTTGGTGGGCTTTGGTGGGGAGGGATTCAAACTTTTTGCTGAAAGGATTTAGGTTTTGTTTTGTAAGGGAGGATTCTGGCTTGGGCTGGGCTGGGGCCGGGCTTGGCTGACCTGGTCTCGGGCTGGGTGGGCTGGAAGACCTGTGGGCTGGGCTTGAGGGGGTCTAGCTGTGGCTTTGGGCTGGGCAAGTCCAACCAAACCCAAGGCACAGGCGTCACAAGCCTTTCCTATTGATGTGAACCGAGCCGCGGGACAAAGGAGGACCTGCCCGAAATCCAGTTCGCGCATGCTAGCAACAAAGAAGCAAGACCGGTGCTAGTTTGGGAACAAAGAAGGATGTCTTCGGAGTCGCAAGTTCGCTTATCCTGGACAGAAAGAAGGAAGACCTGCCAGAGAGCCAGTTCGCTTTTTTCTGGGAACAAAGAAGAAAAAGGACTTGTTGAGGGTTGTTGGGTGGGGCCGGGCGCCTTCGTCGACCCCCTTCAGGCCCCAAGCCCCCGCTTAAGCCCCCTTCGTCAAAGGGGGGGAGGCCCATATAGGGCCGGGCGGCTGGCTAAGCCGGCAAGCCAATACATTGTGCTGGGATGGGCTGGGCTGGGTTGGACGGGGTGGGGTCTGGCTGGGCTGGGCTGTGCTGGGGGCTTCTTCGAGACAGTCTAGCGACATTCCCTACAACAAGCCGAAAGCGCTTCCCTTGGAGTACGTGACAATCCCCGAATCATTTGAGACATGCATTTCGCGGGAACGAGCCACTTGGGACACTCCTTTCAACGCATCCAAAAAGGTTTCTCTGCCAATGCCTCCCAGCTTTTCCAGCAGCCCACTCGCCGCCATTGGCCCCCATACGCTCCTCGCCCCACGTGCAAAACCCAAAAACCCGACCCCGGCGCGTATATGCGATGCGCCCCACGCCGTGCCGCAAACTTTTGCCCGCGCCTTTAGTGAAAACCCTTCTGTTACGTATTCGGGAAAAAAGCACGCAGCTTATCTCGACCTTCAGGGCTTCGTTGCGGTCATCGCGTTTAGGGAATTCGGTGTGCTGTATATTGGGGCTCCCAACGCCGTGACAAAAGAAGAAAAGCACAAAGTGTCTCTCGACCTTGGGGCTTTGTTCGTCGTCAGGTCCGAAGGAATGCGGTGAAAGTTAGAGCAAACGCTTCTGGAAGAGTTGTCTTGGGGGCCATGCTGAATTAGGGATTTCTTGTTCGGGACCTTTCAATTGCCTTGCCCGTGCCTCTCGAGCTCTTGTTGGAACAATGAAGGCTTCATTTCCCATTCTGGGACAATTGCTTCGTTAAAGTGTGTTGGTACCGGCGTCGATCTTGACCCCAGCCCGTTCCCAACCGAGTGCTCCAGTAGCAGTAGCAAGCCTTTCAAGCGTGCCAAACACTCAACCCCCCCCTCCAAGCTCCCGAGACCGCTTAGGACCCTCGAAGCTGAAATCACCGCAAGCTTCCAAGCTGAAGGCCCCTGCGCTCTTGAGTGGATCTTTGATTCCGCTGAGGCTGTACTGGCCACCTTGCGCAGGAAACTCTTGCGCACGGACAAGGGTGACTGAAATTCTCATGTAATCTTGCCCACACATGGTCTCTCATGGTCTGTTGCAAGTCCCGGGCGGGTGCTCTTCGCTGGAGACTGCGTCGACTGCCTAGCACGCCGGTGTGTAGATCGCACAAGCTCGACAGGCAACACGACACTGGTGCAGTCGGCGGCAATTCTAAACAAGCAACACGAGGCAAGCCTGCTATGAGAGCAACTGCGCTACAAGTGCTCGTGCTCATGCAGATGCAGGGTAGACGTGTCCTTTTCGTGGCCGCCGACTGCCAGATACCGTATTGATTGAGTCTGGCGGCGCTCGCTCTATCTCGCTCTACTGGGCCACGTGGCCTGGCCTTCAAACCACAAGAAAAACAAACATTACTTCTGAAGTTGTTTGTGAGAAGCCGGCACCGTGCGAAAATGGAAAATAAAGGGAGCTTCTTCAACGCTTGCCGAAGCGGGCCTGGGCTGCCCATGTTGCAATCGCTCGGGGTTGACGGCGACTGGCTTCAAAGGCAGCGTTGGCCAATGCCTCGCTGTCGCCTACGTTAAAAGAATTCCTCAGGCGCGGGCGCAGCAAGTGCTTGAGGAGGAGAAGAACTTCCTCCGGCGCTCGGCGCACACGATTTATCGTGCTCGCGCCTCTTCAGGTACTCCTTAAATGCGGCCCCGGCTTGGCCACTCAACTGGAGGCGTTGTTGAGGAAGCCATATCTGGCCGAGCTGCATGTTGGGCGGGATCTCGGCCATGCAAGTCCATGGTCGTTTGCGGTTCTCCGCAAAATCGATCGCCATGTACGCCTCTTGGATGTGATCACTCATCTTCGGTGAGCGCAGAGTCAGGCCAGCTTCTTTCAGCAGCTGGTGACACACTGCACGCACAGCCTTGATGGGATACTTCCTTGGGGCGTCATAGCACAAGTAAGAGGCGTGCACTTGCTTGTAGGCGCCAATCGCGGCATCCCGCGCCTGAGCACCACTCCGGGCCAGCCAAGCTTTCAATTGCGCCTTTTCGGCGAAACTACAGCCAAGGCCACGGATGTCCGACTCCATGGTCACGACGTGTGGGGGCAACGAAGTGCCAGGCGGCGTCTCACAGTGTTGAGCCTGCTGAGTGACCATGGCTTTGACGGAGGCCTCTAGTTGCTGAAGTTCAGCGTCACCTCAAGACAAGCAATAACCAGCTTCACCCTGTCTGTCTGGCTGTCTGCCTGTCTGTCTTTTTGTTTCTCTCTCTCTCTCTCTTGCTCGTTTTGTGGCACGCCACCTTGGCCGTCAGGCGTATTCTCTAGGAAGTCCACCAGGACGGGATCCGAAGACGCACGCGTCTTGTCCCCGTCGCTGTCCCCGTTAGACAAGCCCAGCATACCAGGCGGCGAATGGACGGGGTTGGTGGAGTGGGCCTTGCTGCTGTGGATGATGGCGTTGTTGGGAATATACTGAATCCCCTCCGGCAAGCCCTTCGCGGTCCACACCTTACACTCCGAAAAGTACCAACTTGCACAGAAAAACGGAACATACTTATGTGACCTATGACTAAAGCCAGAAGAAGCGCGAGAAGTCAGTAGCTTCACCATTTATTTTGAAGCGTTGCAGGCGAGTGGCCTGGATGTCTGCGGCACACATCACGGGGTCCCTCCAAACGGCGAACTTGCCAGTGAGCACGCATCCGCCGGAAATGATGTAGCATTCGCCGTACTCCAGCTCGCCGCAAGGGTCCGGTAAGGCAAACGCCGTGACCCCGATGGTGGGCAACATGAGCCGAGGATTCTCACGGTACTGGTCCACCCCACACAAATACCGACGACCGCCGTGCTCGAATCCTGCAGGGCTCCCTCTGGACAACGTCCAAGGCTTGTCCTCCGGGAGCTTTGCCTGCAACACCTCCAGCGGGGTTGGGTCAGCGCACTGCTCAGTGAATTGGAGCGCGATGTCCTGGTGCGGCACCCGCAGTGTCGCGGAAAACAAAAAAACCGAAACCAAAAAGATTGCCTTGTGGGGTCGACCCCTAGGAGAGACAATTTCAGCAAGACTTGAGGGCGCAAGCTGCGCTGGCGAACCCTAAACCCTGAACAATAAACCCTAAACCCTGAACCCTAAACCCTAAACCCTTAACCCTAAACCCTTAACCCTACCTTCCCTGGAAACCCAGGCCAAAGGAAGAGCTTTAGCTTGACTACTGGCGCTATTCTGAAGAGCAGAAAGTTAACACGATTTCCTGGACATCCCCAGCTACAACCCTTAACCTTAAGGGTTTAGGGTTTAGGATAAACTCTACACCCCTAACCTTGAACCCTGAAACCTTAAACCCTAAACCTGAAACCCTATACAACAGCAAGGTGGGCACAAGCATGGGCCGCTAGCTTGAAGCTGCAGCTTACCACGCAAATGGCTATGTGATCCAAGGGCTAGAATGGGCTTAGGATTTCGAAGTCCTCTGCCAATCCTGCTCAAAATATCCAAATAAAGCTGCTTCGCTGAATCACCATGCACGCTAAGTAACAAGTACATCCAATAAGCGGCCAAAGCCCTATTTCGATTCTCGAGGCCGCGAGCACCCAAACCCGAAAAGCCCAAAACCTGAACCCTTATAGTCCCCTTTAAGTAGATAGAATATGGGGTATATGGGGATCTTATTATAATATACCCAAAGCCATATTCTATCTACTTAAGGGGGGCTATAACTCTGAGCTAACTGTAAAGTCACATCAACCCCTGCAGTATCTAACATAGAACTTGGACAACAGGCCTCAAAACACTACTTCCAGTGTCAGTGGGACTTACCTAGACCCTGGAATGTAGTATCTTTTTGGTAATCCTAAAAGAGTCCTAACCAAAAAGCCAAACCCTCAACCCTAAACCCTTACCAAACCCAAAAAGGAACTACGTTGGAGGGTCCAGGTAGTAACTAGGTCAATCATGGGGATAACTGAGGTTTTTAATCTGGCTTATATAGGGTTTAGGGCTTAGGGTGAACAGTATACGTAATCATAAACCATAGGGGTAACTAAGGTTATTATATGGCTTAAAGGGGTTATTCTATGGCTGCTAGGGGCAAAAATTACGCATACGTCTAAAGTTTATTTGACGCCCAAGTAGCGTCCCTTGTCTCGAGGTTCATTTAAGGGAGAGTAGGAGTAGGCTTCGAATCCCAAAACCTCAACGCTCGCATCCCTAGACCCTGTGGTCCCCCTCAAGTAGATAAAATATGGGGTACATGGGGATCTTATTATGATATACCCAAAGTCATATTCTATCTACTTAAGGGGGACTATACATCCCAACCTTGGGTCAATTCCCGACCCAGAAATGGGTACCACAACGGACTATGTATATTCAGGCCGTGAATAGGGGCTACTACTGTTGGGGGGATTGACCTAGACCCCACCCCTTAACCCCAAATTTCCAAAGCCCTAAACTTTAAAGACCTAAAACCCACAAACCACGAACCCCTAAACTGCAGCATCTAAGCCCCCAAGCCCTGATCCCTACACTCCGAAAATCCTACACGCAGTAAACCCTAAACTTCAAAAACCTAAGGCCCAAAACCGTAAGTAAACACAAAACAAAACTCTTCTTTCCACTGCTTCATTCTCAACTAACAACCAGTGAGCTAACTCAACCCTCACACCCTAAACAGCTCCCAAAAGCAGATATCACTCTTCGTGGTTTAGGGTTTGGGGTTTAGGACTTAGGGCCAGTTATCCCCCTTGAAGGACCCGCACCCTAAACCCTGAACCCTAAACCCTAAACCCTAAATCCAAAAATAAGGCAGAAGCAGGGCGTGCGGAGTGAACTTTGGTCGAGGCTGGCTGGTTCCTCCGGATAAAGGTATTTCAAGGTCCAGGGCTTAGGGTTGGATTGTCAGGTTTGGCGCCTAAATACCTAAGAGAATGGGTCTAATGATTTTAGGGTTCAGGGCTTTAGTCCGTTGAAGGTTTTGAAGTTAAGGTTTCAGGATTCCGGTGGAGGCTAAGCAAAATATGTTGGCCGTTTTAGGGTTCATTGGGAGGTTGAACATTGAAGCGGTTGCAAGGGTTTATTGGCTTGATTGGCAAAATACAGAAATTCACAATCCTGAGCTAATGCTGTTTCGGGCTATATCCCAGCCTAAACCCTAAACCCTAAGCCCTAAGCCCTAAACCCTCAACCCTAAACCCTAAACCCGCAGTTGAGGGTGAGTTGGCTTGAGCTCGCTCCTGTTTGCCCAGTTTCGGGTTCATCGGGAAATCCGTGAGACCTCTCTCAGGTTTAGGGTTTAGGGTTTAGGGGTTTAGGGTTTAGGGTTTAGGGTCTCAAAAGGAGAGGGTGTGAGGGTTCAAGGTGGTTCGGTGTTTCAGGATTGCTGACTTTATCCGTCCTGCCATGCAAACAGCTTGGGGGTTTAGGGGTTTGGGGTCTAGGTGTTTTGGGGTGCTGGGTTGGTTGGCTTTCAAAGCCATTGCAAACTCTTCGCATAGAGCGTCCTTATGAAATACGTGACATATTTCAAAGTCCCAAGGGCCCACCCACTTGAAAGGGTTTGGCGGATTAGGGTTGCACTTAGACTTGCAGACAAAAAAACATCATATTTATCCTGCAACCCAAGCCCTCAAACCTTAAACCCTAAATCGGCTTGATTTGAAAGCTGGAAGCTTAGGATTCTTGGGCCCGATGGGGCAGATTGTTGAAATGGCCCCTTTTCAGGGTTTACTTGGAGGGTCAGGGGGACTTAGCAAGTAGGTTAATAACCCCTATAACCCATATAGTAACCCTAGTTATCCGCCTTATTAACCTACTTACTAAATCCGCCTGACCCTCCAAGTAGGATTTAAAGTTGTCGAGTCCCTCTTATAGTACGGCCTCTAATATTTAGGGTTCCCAACATGAGGACCACAATGTTGGCAACTTACCGTGGGCTAGGGTTTAGGGTTCAAAGATTTAGGGTCTAGGTTCGCAAGTTCAGGGTGTATCTCGTGGTTTGGGGTTCCTTGAGTCTGGTGTCCTCCCCTGAAATAGGGGCACAATGAAACCTGACAAGGGGACCGATGAAGACTAGTGTCGTTTCAAAGGGGCCAGTTTGTGGCTCCATATTCGTTTGGTCTAAAACCCTCAATCCTAAACCCAATGCCCGAAATCCAGAACCCTGGACCCATAGAATCAGAATGCGGGTTTCTTCATGCGGGCTCTTGAGAAGGAGCGTAAATTTGGTTTTGACTGCCCGTTAGCTGGCAGGACGAACTCTAACAAAGCCTGCCTTAACTCGAGGAATTCCAAACACAGGCAGGCAATCTCCCACAGATCTGCCAAGCCGCTCCTGCAAACTATAGGGGTCGGTCTTATGGGAGGCCTGAACGGGAGTACTGTGGAAACTATCCACCTGCAAACGAACCACCTGCAGATGGCTTCAGTAATTCCTAAACACCGAGAAACCCACACCTAAATCCCTGAAAAACCTCCCGTCCTATCCCCAAACTCTAAGTCCAAGACCCCCACGTTCCTACGCCCGCAAGCCAAAACCCCGAACCCTACACCCCTGATGACAAAAAACTAGATAGATAGATTTCGAAACGCTGGCTCCATCGATCTGATGGTAGCCTTAGGTGGGTAGAAGTCAGTAACCTACTCATAACTTGATAATTTAAAGATCCGATATACCCCTTTTAAGGGACCTGCGGTTTGCATTTCATGCTCCATTCGATTCTCCATTATTGGGGGGAAATCCCTATATAACCTCTGTTGCATGCACTCTTCCCAGCCGCCTTCTTCGGCGGCAGGAGGGGCCTCTGGAGCCTGAAATCCGAAGGCAGTGTAAGGCAGGCATTCTTACCTGAAGGGGTCAGGAGGACTTCACAAGTATACTTATAACCCCTACAAGCCGTTGGAGAACACATGCTATGCCCCCAAGTACTCTGCATCTTGGATGTAGTTCGGGGAATTCGTAGGGTATAGAACCCAAAGCTCTGAAATTCTTGCACCCTAAACCTGATAAACCCGAAACCTTAAACCTTAACCCTTTGGATTGTCAAGGGTGTCAAGATACTCTGGTTGAAGGGGATAAAAAGGCCCCCTATCTAGGTACAGTATCTATCAAGAAGAAGGGTTGAAAGTTTAATTAGGGCTAAGGACTTAGGGTGTACATATATACATATATATACATATACATACACATATATAACCCCCGTCAAGAACTTTACACTACGGCTCATATACAGTAGGGGCATAGGGACAATCTGGGTTTCCGGATCAGGGTTTCAAGGTTTAGTTTTTGGAGTAAGCAATGTACCCCTACAGAAAAAAAAGCCCAGTACTGAATGGTTGGGGCATACTTTGCAAGAGGTCCAGAAAAGATGCCATTAGTTAAGGGTCTAAAGTTTAGTGTTCAAGGGTTCCAGGGTTGTACCCATAACGGGGTGCCCCTCACGCCTTAATACAGCCCTTACATACTCCTTAGATTCCCTTACACGGATCGCGTACAACCCAAAGGCACAAGCCTGAAACCCTTGACCCTTGAAAAACGAAGATCTCCTTTCGCTATGCAAGGCCCCTTATGAATGACATAGGGGTCAGGTTTCAGGATTCACCCTGAACCTACTTCTGCGTGTAGCTGAGGTAGCCCGACAGAGACCGTCCAGTACATGATGACCTAATACCTTGGCCATCTGAATCTAAGAGATTTACCCAGGCCCCCTAAAGGATCCAAAAAATGGAACCCCCTAATAATCCCCTAGTTCCCCCATGTAAAAATGGGTTCATATTGGGGGGGGGTTCCATGTTTTGGATCCTTTAAGGGGTCTGGGTAGTTTGAAGTGAGCACGTCTACTCATAGCACAGAACCTCAGACTCTTCATCTGTGGTCTATCCAGGGTTCCAGGGTTTTATGAAGTTCTCTACATATACCCCTAAGCCCTAAACCCCCTAAACCCTAAACCCTAAACCCTACAGTGTAATCTTCTAGGCTTCCCTCAACTCATCGCCACACCCAGGAGTTGTCCCTAGACCCCAGAATTTGTACACTGAAGCTCTGGAACTGAGGATAACACGCCTGGCTTAGGGTTTCAGAGTTTAGGGTTTTAGGGTTTAGGGTCTAGGGATAAGCGGCCTACCTTAAGTAGATAGAACATGGCTTTGGGTATATTATAATAAGATCCCCATATACACCATATTCTATCAACTTAAGGGGGACTATAGGTACAAGACTGAGGGGATGTTCAGGGTTTAGTGGTCGAGGTCATAGGTTTTTGGGCTCAGGGTTTAGGATTTAGGGTTTAGTGCTGAGGGTTTAGCGGTCGATGCTTAAGGAAAATCATGGGGCATCCGATTGCAAGTGCCAGCAACGACTGTACATGCATCCTTGGTATTCCCTTTCAAATTATCCAAGGGTCCAAGCGTCCAATAATCATATACTTCCCAAAACCTGTACTAAAACTCCTATTACCCAAATCCCGAGTAGTCAACTATTTGGGTACTTGGACTTGTAGGGATAGTATATATATATATAGATATAAATATACCAGCTGTAGCTTATCTGAGCACGAGTGACAAGGAGGGTGCCATTGCAACCCGCCAAAGACATCAACCGCGTGACGACCCCAAAAAGACACGCATCCTAAACTCTAAGCCCTAAACCCTTTCTCAACAGACCTTGCGGATCTCCGCCCTCAAGTCCAAGCCATCTACATAGCGTGCCCAGAAACATGACCGCATTGCAGTAGATTAGGGTTACAGTCCCCCTTACGTAGATAGAATACGGGGTATATGGGGATCCTATTAAAATATACCCAAAGCAATATTCTGTCTACTTAAGGGGGACTTTAAGGGTTTAGGGTCGAAGTTTAGTTTCTTCACCTCTAACCATGCCATGACCATGGTACTCCATCAACAAACTGACCCAACCCACAGTTTAGGGCTTAGGGTTTTGGGTTTTGGGTCCCCTAAACCCTAAACCCTAAACCCGGTTTAGGGCACAACCCTAAAGCCTGAGCTCTGATCCAAGACCCTCCGTCTGTCCTCTATTATTCCCCTCCTCCTACCCTCTATGGTTTAGGGGTTTAGGGTTTAGGGTTTAGGGTTTCCACAATTCGGGACCCTATAGCCCCCTTTTAGGGTACCTGGACGCTCTAGGAACTCTAGACCCTTTAATAGTCTCAACTCCTAATACCCTCTACAATGCTCCCCTACATAATTCCCTGTATAACCCCAACCGAATTCAAACACAAACTCCTAAAGCCTAAAGCCTATGTAACCTTTCTTTAAGGAGTTCAAACCCAAACTCATAAAGCCTAAACCCTATATAACGCCCTTTACGGAGCTTAGACTATAGCTCATGTATCCAGGGGTAGGACCTTCGCGGTCCGGTAGAAGCACCGCTCTAGGCGACCAAATCCAATGAGGACGATGATCAGAATCACGACGTCAGTGATCTGGGTGATTCTCAAATTGGGGGGGAACCCAGTATAGACACCAGTATCCAAAAGGCACCCCTCATGTGGCAATCCCCTTAATCAAGGAATATGATGTCCAGGGTTGTGGGAGTTTCTCAGCAGGACCCATTTAGAATCTGATATGGACTCCGCATAATCACTGCCCATCTGTTTCATTTAATGTATTGATGTAGTTGAGTTGCGGCTCGAAGGTTATATCGCGATTGCTCTAAAAGGTCCGTTTACAAAAGGCGCCATGGAGCATACATTTCCTGAAGCGAGGTCCTGTACAAAAACGTGGCCATTTTGGAGACCAGTGGTCTTGAACAACTACCACAGTATGAGCTCTCTACGATCGCCTGTCCTTCAACAGATCCTCAACCCACACACTTCAAATCTTGAGAATCAGGGGGCTCCAAAGGTGGGATAAAGCTACGTGGGTTAAAGGATCCCGAAAAATGGATTCTACTATATTGGGGCTAAATTCCTTCATCCTACCTACTTTCATCCAACCTTTTGAGCCCCCTGACATGAGGTTCTCTCCATAAATCGCGGGACCCCAATATAGATTCCAAAATGCTATGGTTGGTCCTTATTCGTGGGACCCCCCAAAAGGGATTCCTAATTTTGGGCAACCCCACCGCATACAGAAAGCCAAAAAGCAACGAAGCCAGCTATGCACATGGCAGGACTGAGTCGCTGTTTAGGGTTTAGGGTCAGTTTAGGGTTTAAGGGGGACTGTTTTGGGATTATGTAGGGGAGTACTCTGCGAGTTATTAGGGGGAATACTAGGAATTTAGACAATGGCTCACATGCTTTTTAGAAGGTTCAGTGTGGAAAGCTTTGAAACTAAAAGCCTAAAACTCCTAAACCTAAGCCCAAACGCCTAAATGGGGACTTCCACAAAGTGGAGTACCTACAACAAGGATTGTCATCCGGATTGTGCTCATTCGGGGCTTACATTTGGGCACCCATTTTTCGTAACCTCCCCCCCCAATTTGTGAAATGCAACTGTGGGGTTGCAAGATAACCTGCAGAGTCTAAGAGTGTATTTGCTGCTTGTGGCTGCTAGCGAGTCAAGCACAATGGACCCGGAAAAGGTGGCCTGCACAGACTACTGTTCGGTTTCAGTGAGTACGTTGTTCCGCAGCCCCTTTAGTGAAGGCTGAATTTTGGGGGCCAGGCATCTACTCACAAAATTGCTCAGCAGCTGGCGAGCTGAAAAGCGTAGTTGCTCCAGGTATTTGCACCCGGCTGCCTCATCTTCATCACCTGAACACGTTCTTAGTGTCCTGTATCTCGAGCTTTTGAGAAGTTAGCCTTTGGGTGGTAGTGGGACTTGTGTTGCCTAAAAAAGCTACTCACTGGGCAGGTAAGGTTTGGCGATATTGTCACAGGGTTGTAGACAATTGTTCTCAGATCTCCTCATCTGTTACCGTGCGAATCTGCTTCTGCTACTTCCCTGCCCAGACCTCACTTAAACTAAAAACCCTAAGGCCCTAAACCCTAAACACTAAAGTACCCTAAGGCCCTAAACCCTAAGCCGAGCTGTCTGCCAATATTTATGTTCCTCCCTAACCTTAGCCCTGAATCGAAATGGAACCCTCCCACAAATAGATTTTACCTGCTCAACCCTAAACCCTAAACCTGCTCATTATAGGCAAAACTGAGGTCTTCAAGATGATGCTTAGCTGCTTATAGGAAAGGGGGTTCTAGCAGGCACCAGCTAAACACGATTTCAGGTCCTGTTTGTTGTTGGCAAGGAATAAAATCGTTACGTCGCCCCTATAGAATACATTTCATGAACCCCTAGCCTAAACCCTAAACCCTAAATAATATATTCCCTTCTTCCCTGCTATCCCCAAGGTAAGGATTCTTCTGGAGTTCTCAACCAACCTCTTCGGGTCATGGGCCCCTAATATGGTCCCTTAGGCCTTGTAGGGAGTCTCGGGGGACCCTGAAGGGGGCATAATGCGGTTTAGAGTTTAGGATTTAGGTATCTGAAGATCCCAGCCCTAAACCCTAAACCCTCAACCTTCGGCTGAAACCTTAAAGCCCCAAGCCTTGGGTACTCAGCCCACCCAGCACCAGTCCGAAGGTATATGGGGGTTTATCCTCTGGGGGATCCTTAAATAATAAGGACTGCAACATTTTGAGTCTATATGGGGGTCCCCCTAAATTGGGAAACTACCAATATACTTCTATATAAAGCTCACATTATTATCGATAGTAAAAGCCGTTCGCAAGTGCAGTACCTAAGCTGGATCCAGCTAAACCCTCAAGTTCTTTATAGGTTAGCAGTCTTGAACATCTCTCCCCCAAACCCTAAACCCTAAAAACAACTTTCTGCTTTCTGCCTGTGCTCCTATACGTTCCTGTACAGGCTGGATTTTGAACTTTCAGTTGGGAGTTTCGGGGTGTTTGGCCTCGCTTTAACAAACAGGGATTTAGTTCCAGGATCTGGAGATTTGGGGGTCTGAACCCTAAACCCTAGACCCTACACCCTAGACGCTAGGGGGATAACATAGTAGACCCTTAACCCTTAAACCTCGACCGTAAGCCCTGAAACCTAAAGCAGTGCTTGGGGCTCTTGGGTTTTAGGGTCTAGGGTTTTGGGGCCCCCCTGCCGCTGCTTCAGCAGCATCCTGGCATCCAAACCCTGTGCTGCTTCAGCACTCGGCACGCTTCAGCCAGAGACTTGAGGCCAATGAATGAAATGTCCTGGTGGATGGCCAGCTCGCAGAAAAGCTGCAACAGCTTCTCATTGCGTGCCGAAAAAGATGGGAACAGGCTTCGGCTTAGAAGAAAAACACCTGAGCCACAGACTTCTGGTACCTCATTCTCGACCTGCACGTGACACCACGCTTATGAAGGTACTCAAGATCACCCTCACCGCTTGGCAGCTTCAAAAGCCTTGAAGCTGGACTTTGCTTCGCACGGCCGGCTTAGGGGTAATAATAAGGTTTTTATAGAGTTTATATAGGATTTATGCGGTTTATATAGGGTTTATATAGGGTTTAGCTTGGGAGCTTGGTTTCACAATCTGGGCTTCCCACAATACGGACACCGTGGGAAACTTCAAGGGCGATGAGGCTTAGGGTTTAGGGTTTAGTGTAGTTGTTCTCAGAACCACTAGGCAGGACATCACCATTTAGGCTTAATCCGACCAAGTTGTCATGCCGCTTTAGACTCCTGCTGAGTACGAATACTGTTGATTGACTTTTCATGGGCCTGTACCCCAAACTGTGGGAATTATGATGGTGCGGTATACCTAGGGCACCATGCGGATCCCATGCACGAATCCTGTGGGATGTGTAAGAGTTTGGTTTAAGGCGCCCCGCACCCTGAACTCTAGTCCCGAAACCCTGGACTTGTTGAGTTTCGATCCGTCCAGCTTGATCACAGGACTCGAGCATATGTAGTTGCGCCAAAACTATGTGAGAATTCTCCGGATAGCACATCTGCATATTCTATGGGTACATCTACGGGTGGTTCCACGAATAGCGGGCCCCTGTATGCACCCCAACAAAATAGAATCTTTTGTATGGGGATCCCAAAATGAACACTTACTTTCACAAACCCCCAAATAGGATCATTGAAATGTTAGCGCCTCCTGCTTGCCAGCAGCATAGCCGCTCTCGAAGCCTCGTTGGTAATCTGCACCTGGGCGCTTACTCAGGCACTTGAAGCTTCTGGACTAGAGACCCTAAACCCTAGACCCTAAGTCTTGAGTAGCACTGACAACCGGGGCAAGGGCCCTACGCGTTCTTAGGGTAATCTTGTGAAAGCCAGAGAGAGGGCTCCACGCAGTAAGTAAGGTTATGCACGCCGTCAAAAACTGCTACTAATGCTCATGGACCTCCAAGTGACCTTAGATTCGCGTTTAGTTGTATCAATGGTTGATACTAAACAACTTGGCATGCCCTTGATATAGTGAACTAGAATGCCCAGGATATGAGGCAATGAGGGCCATGCAGAATCTTTGCCAGAGCTGGAGTAATCTTGACCCTTCACAGAAAGGTAAAGAGATAGACAACCTTTTTGCATGGCTACATTAGTTGCTCTAGGTAGGGTTTATGAGTGAGTGGAGACTCTAGGTAGGGTTTATGAGTGAGTGGAGAAACCTTTTGTCTTCATAAAGCCATTCATTCACCTTCAGGGGTGAGGAACCCCATCTCTGTTTATGTATATGGGGGTTGTCCAATAT